TCGCGTCCTTCGCCATTACGGGCGGGCCAAGAAATTTGCCTGCTTCTCTGCGGAGTTGCAAGGCTTAATGCATTTGCGTGCTACCTTGCCAAACCGCCGGTGTTACAAACAGCGAGATTGTTTGTGGATAGACTTGGAGCGTTTCGAGCGTGATTTGGATCGGCTGGACGGCAACGGCTTATAGTGAGCTGTTGGACTTGTCGACTAAGTTTCACGACTTGTGCTTGCAAGACTTCTATAGTTTACCGTCAGTCGGTGGTAGAAGTGCCGTGGGACGCAACAGCGTTGACCCTGCTGCCGTCTGCTTGTCGCTGTGATCGCTCGATGACCCGATCTGCCACATCAGCTAGTTTGATAATCCATACTGAGCTCACAGTGGCGAGAATCTCCATTTTATTTCCCGGTAGCCGCTATAGCCATAATTCGCGGAGTAGGATCTTGTCCATGGTAGAGGAACTAAGCAGCTGTTGAATCTATCGTCGCACGGTTGCTGGCAGTCTGTTGCCCAATTGCACATCTCTGAAAAGCTGCTGCAGGCGGACTTTCTCAGAGGGCATGACACGCTTAACCGTGTCCTCCTTAAGAACGTCGTAGCGGTTTTCTGTCTGAGTGATGATGACGTCTCGAACCTGCACGGATATCTCCTTAGGGAGATAGGACATGAGCTTGCTATATTGAATGTAGTCTGAAGTAATTCTGCAGTTATTATACTCTGCCTCTAGATGAGCAAACCACAAAAGAGGATCCATTTCCTAAAGAGATGGGACAAAGAGAGGTACAACACTAACGGGAGACACTACTATATGGTCCACAGAATCCATGGTTTAAAAGATGGATACCAGAAATACTACCGTATGAAAAAAAATAAATAGAACCGACTCCCCGAAGAAGACGACGAACTATCCCGCGTTGATGTTCTTCCGAACTTGGGGTCACCAATTTAGCGGGAGCTGGGATAGCGATTGCAGAAGACAGATTGATTTGCAGGGAAACTTTTATTTGTACAGCAAAAAGTTCCCTATATGCCTAGCTGTACAAAATCGACAATTGTCACTGCTAGCTAGGGGGGGGGGGCGAGAAAGGCACTGCAAACAAGAGCGATCGCGCGTCGCAATCGAAACGAAAGCAAAGCAAAGGCGATGGTCGACTCAAGCAATCGAAATCGCCAACAATTCGCACCAGTCGCCTAAATGTACAATGAACTAATTATTTTAATTAGTATTTTACACAGGTAAACCGGGAAATCTCCAGACTGCTACAAGAGGTAACACAGGTCGAACAAAACCCCACCTCAAAATACGCGGCCGGTGATAGTACACTGCCATCACACACGTCGCCATTACTATTTATTCTTGTATTTCCTTTTCCTTAAAACTTTTTTTCTCGTCTACAGAGCAGCTGGTGCTATTGATGTATCTAAATCATGCTTCAGACCAAGGATCTCATTTCTCACTGGTTCGTTTAGCATCGGCACTTTGGGTTAGGTAGGCCAACAGATAGCACTAACTTTCACCCTTCGCTCTCGGTATTGATGTTTGCTGTGTCTAAAACACCAATAGTAACTAACATCGTCGTGATGAATCTTTGATTCACCGATTCAGGATCTGTTAACAGTGACTGCACTGTTCACGATGTTGTGTCGATGGCTCGATGTATTTATGACGTCAGTATCGCCCACAACAAACATGCATACCAACCTCGAATCACATGTGGGCGGTTCGATTTAGAACCTCTGTTGGGGTTAATAATAATAATAATAATAATAATAATAATAATAATAATAATCAGATAAGATGCTTCATCGCTTCCGTTTGTGGCCCCACTGACTGCAGTTCAGGGAGTATAAAAGACGTATTCTATCGTCAGCTGTCATCTTTTATCCGTATGACACCGATATGAACACCGATATCG